ACAAAATCTGAGGAAGAAGTTTAAGAGAAGAAAGAAGTCACCCCAAATTACTGTATATAAACATTTCATATTACAACTTCCCTGTTTGGAGATTTTTCTATCACTCCAGACAGTGTTCATATATTAGCCACTGTTTCTCCCTCAAAAGTTTCCAGATGTTTGCCTTTTTTCCAGTATTGCTCTGTTCTTAGTCACAAGGCAAATAATGTTTGTCTATAATAGAAACTTCCTATCCTCTCTTAAGCTTTATCGTATTAGCGTACAATAAAATCAGCCTCAGTAAGATGAAATCATAGCAAGTAAAGCGCTGCAAGGGTACTCCAGAAAGTTTGACCCCCTTTTCTTGGGCTCACAAAACAGATAAAATGAGTATTTTAGAGGTAGCCACAGGGATACTCTCAGTGCTCCGTGAATGAGCATCTTGAGGAATCGTCACGCTTCTTGCGCCCTCTGTCCTTAGAGCTTACTGCCAGCTGGCAAATGGTGCACAGCCTATGACCTCTGACCCTGGATCAGCTCCTCTTGAACTGTTAGAAAAATGTTGTCTGGAGAAAGGTCTGGGCATTTAAGTTATTACTGGATGTGCCTTCTTAAAAAGCAAAGAAGAAACTCATAGGTATCCTTAATGAGCACAGGACTCAAATGTAGCAGAAGTCATAGAGCATTCTGGGAATTGTTTCTCAGGGGCAAAGCTTCCTTTCCTACTGCAAATATTTGAACAAAGAGAAAATATATACAAATAACAAAAATATAATTTAAATGCCTAAAGTATTTTTGCAGACTTGTTTTGAATTTTTTTTTTTATTCATATGTCCCTTGGTGAACTACAGTTTAGTTTTTTTTTCATGTCAAAGTTGGCATCATGGAGAGAAGGGAGAGAATAGTCCTGCTTCTTTTACCCCCTTTTTCCTTCTAATTTTTAGAGAGAGAGAGAGAGAGAGAAAGAGAGAGAGAGAAAGAAAGAAAGAAAGAAAGAAAAAGAAAGAAAGAAAGAAAGAGAAAGAAAAGAAAAAAAGAAAGAAAAATTTATAAGCCCTTAATTCAAATCTTAAGCTGTTTGGTAAGCCCAAAAAAGAAAACATTAGAAACTACTATGATTTTATGGTTATTGAAGTGCATTTCTAACATGGCAAGTTTTCCTCAAAATTTTACTTCTATTGATTTTAACATTATTCTGTTAAGTTTTTCATTTTTATATTTCCGTAAGATATTGAACCAAATACATAAAAATTAACAGCCTGTAAGTCATGAAATGTTACCAAATTAAATATTAACTATTTTTCATTTAATAATAACTATTATGTTTATTTGTACCCTAGCCTTTAGCCTGGAATTGTATCTTTTCACCTAACTCACAACATAATTTAAGTGAGATTGTTAATCATGAACTCTGCAAAGGAGTTTAGTGTTCTGCATATTTAGGCTACTTTTATAAAGACAATTAGACTTTATTAGAAATGTTAGTGGAAACAATAATTGAGGTAGGAGTTAAGTGAAAGTCTGCATGAGAAGAAGTGACGAATAAATTCCCTGATTTGACAATATTCTCTCTTCCTCTTTTCCCTCCCTCCATCAGTGCTAGGGATTAAACCACAGCCTTGTGGATTTCAGTAAGTGCTTTTCCACTGAGCCATTCCCTCAGTCCAGATTTCCTGATTTTAATATTTAAAAAGATAAATTGGGCTTGAATAGAAATATCAAAAAGTATAAAAAATTATGTACATAATTTAAATGTTAAAGTAAACTTATAATTCCTTTAAGCCCGTATTTCACTATCAAACTCAGTACTGTAGATCCCCAGTGTAGAGTTGTTCTTTAGACTGAGAAGTAGTGTTTTAGGGTTAGAGAACAGAGCCTGATACAATTATAATTGGAATTCAGAATCACATAGCCAACTCATACAATTCATGCCAAAGCAAAATATTCTTTTGACCTGAATAATTAGAATTGACTGGCAGTATGGTCCCCAATTCTTTGATTAGTTAATTCTCTTTTAACCTTGCTGATTTGCCCTGTTGGCTTTTTCTTTTTCCCTGATTATGTGTAGTTTGAGTTTATTTTTTTGCAAAATGTTTCATGGAATGTTTTACAGAGCAGGTCAGTTACAGGGCAGGAACAAAAACATTGGTTTTAAGAGACAGAGTAAGTCTATGACTCAAAATCCCATGAAGGAGAGTCAACACAATTGAAGGTCACCTTTTACCAGAGATTAGGATTCTGAAAAGATTCTCTTTTCATTTCATGTTTTACATATATAAGATTCTGAGAGAATGAATAGTTTTCTGGGAAGCATTGTGATCAAGTTGAATTAGTAGATCAAGAACTGTGCAAAATATTTATGAATATGGCAAAGCGATAGGTGGGAACAAATTTTAGGGGAGTAAAACTGATTAAAATGTTCCTACCTGGCAAAGCAATAATCATGTAAAAGCTAACATATAAGTGAAAGAATGCATTTATGTGCTCTGTTTTTTTTCCAGCAACACTAAGCAAGAAAATTGTGTTGAATTTTGAAGATCGTGTTAAAAAGGAAATTGGAGGAAATTAGTAAGACAATGTTCACAGACATTACAAAGTTAAAAGGAACTAAATTCTCAGTCAAGTTAAATAAAAGTTACTGTGTATAGCTTGCCTAAACAAAAATTAAATAAATGCTAGCTATAAACATTTAAAACATCCAGGAGAAACAGAAACTGTTCAATATGCCACTGGAATTATATAAGAGGAAAAATGTTAATTATTTCTTCCTAAACATGAAATTTTAAGATTCATCAGACTAAGTTTAAATATATTCTTTAATGTTCACCTTTATCATTTAAAATGTTTTGTAGCCGGGCATGGTGGTGCATGCCTATGATCCCAGCACTTGGGAAGTTGAGGCAGGAGGATTGCTGTGAGTTCGAGACCAACCTGGGCTATATAGTAAGTTCCAGGTCTGTCTCAACTACATAGTAAGACCCTGACTAAAAAAAAAAAATGTTTTGTAAAAGATAAAATGGTTTCTATTACTGATTAGTTTACTGCTAGAACATATCTAGATCTTATTAATGAGATAAAGTTTTCTTCACATGGCTCTTTTCATGTTTTACATATATAAATATAGATATCTGGTCATACTTTAAGCTGAAGTTTATATTTAAACAAAATAATCAGAAATATGTGTGAAAAAGTTTTCACGTAGAAAATTTGCTAGTATATTTGCTTATCTATTTCAGAAAGATTACTTTGAAATAATAGAGATAGGTTTCACTTTTGTCTTTTCGTTTACCTAATTGCATTTTTTTTTTTTTTTTGTACCGGGTATTGAACTCTGGCCCTTACACTTGTGAGGCAGACAGTGGAACCACTGAGCCAAATCCTTGGCCCACCTAGTTGCATTTTTTAAATGCAAATTATACCTGGAACTTTTGTTTAAAAGAAAATTATTTCCATTAATTCATGTGGAAAGTGGTAATTTATGAACAAATGGTGAAGTATTGTATACATGAGTATGATATATATATTTTTTTATATATATGAACTTGGTGAACTGGGACTCGTTTTAAAATGCAATTCTGACTCAGCTGGATTGGAGAGAGAATCAGGAATTTTTTTTTTTTTTTTTTTTTTTTTATGGTACTGGGATTGAACTCAGGCCTTTGTGCTTGCAAGAAAGGCGGTAGAACCACTAAGCGAAATCCCCGGCCCAGGAATTTGTATTTTAAACTAATAGCAGATGTTTATTTCCCTTTTTTATTTTATTTATTTTTTTGTTTTTGTATGTGTGACATTAGAGATTGAACCCCATGGCCTTCACACTGAGCTACATCTCCAACACTTTTTTTTTTTTGGCATAGGGTCTCACTAAATCATTAATTTGTCCAGGCTGGGCTTTTGTAAAATATAGAGCTTGAGTTCTAATAATAATGATAGATTATGTAATTTGAACAAAAAGATCTCTGTGGGCTGTGCATGGAGCTCATTAGTAGGCTTGCCTAACCTATGTCAAGTCCTGGGTTCAAAAACAAAACATATATATATATATATATATATATATACACACACACACACACACACATACACGTATATGTATACATGTATATGTATGTGTATATATATATATACATAAGACTGTGATACTAAAACATATATATACATATACATGTATATATATATGTGTATATGTATTTGTGTGTGTATATATATGGATATATATAGATATATATATAGATATATATATATCTATATATATATGACTCTGTGATACAACATACTGAAAAATTATGAAGTCAATTTTAGGGACATCCAAGACAGATAACTTCAGCATTTAAAGATGATTTATCCATGTGAGTATCTGCCAATTCCTTGTGGATATGAGTATCTCTGTCTAAAATAAACACTGCTAGAAATCTAAGAAATTGAATAAGGTATTCAGAATTATGAAGCATAGGGGAAATATTGATATTCAATGCCTACTAAGAATGAACTAATATCTAATTAAATGTAGAAGAAATGATAACCCTGAAATAAATTAGCCTAGGAAGGTACTGAAAACCAGCTTCACATTATTTGAAATTCAGATGTGATTTACATTCTAGATAGTTGCTAGGGAACTTGCCCACTCCCAAAAATTATTTTTTAGGGAAAAATAAAATCCAAAACCCAATTGCTTTTATAAACATTCGTTGGTGTTAAATCAAAATAAAAAACATGCACAAGAAAAAACATGCTTGAGCAAAAACCAAGAGAAACAACACTCAATGAAAACAAATTCACATTGATGATTTTATGATAATGTAGTTTTCAGAAACAGGTTTTGATACTATGCTTAATAGTATGACTTCTCTATATTCTGGATATTAATCACTTTTTGGATAATGTGATTTGCAAATATTTTCAAACATTTTGTGAATTTCTTTTTTATTCTGTTAAAGGTATAGTTTGATGCCAAAAAGATTTCAGTTTTCATGAAATTGTCTCTCTCTCTCTCTTTTTATTTTAAGTACCATGTTTATTCCCCAGAAGGGCGCAGTGTTCCTGGAGGTACTGCAATACCAGGTCGATGCATGGAGTGGACAGAGCAAGCTCCTGTTCCATCTCCCAGCTCCAAAAATCTATATAATATATTGTACTTGGATAGAGGACATATCAGACATTATGCTGATAAGAACAGATACTACACTTGATCTTAGCCAAAAGGCTGAGAAGCTATAGAAATTGTCTCTTCTTTTTTTTTCTTTTTATTGAGTTTATTGGTACAATCTAGGTATACAATACAGTTATATTCATTATTGGGATCCTGTACGTTTACATAATAGGTCTTGATTCTCATTTTTCCCCTTGTCCCTGCCCTCCCTTCACCCTCTCCTCCCCTCCCCATTTACAAACACTTTATTTCCATTTTTTCAATTTCTTATATTTTTTCCTTTCCCTTATTACCTTTCCCCCACCATTTCCACTTTCCCTACACCTTTAGCCCTTTACTTCCTATTTCACATTATTAATTATCTCATTAGGATCCTGTGTACTATTATAGTTTTTCACACTACTGTTTCAGTTAAATCTCTGTATGAACATTAAAAATGGGGACTCCTAAAATAAAACTGAAAAGGCAATGATGTAAGATGAAAATAATCCTTAATTCTGAAGATGAAAATGGTCCCTTAACATATTTAAATTGCTTCTTGCTCTTGTAGTCTTATCTTATTCTTTTTTTTTCATTATTTAAAGAATATTAGTTTCTATAATCAAACCCACGTATATATGACCTTACATATGTAATACAGTTCATTATCCCTGTACGAAAAGAAAAAAAAATAAAAATAAAAATAATTAACATTTCTAGACCAATATGGCTGTCCATTTCTGAACAATGCCAACTCAACACAGTAAATTGAGATAACTTTTTCCAAAGTTGACAGCACCGTTAAAGTTTCCAAAAATTCAAATTATATATGTATATATATATATATTTATATTTATATAAAAAGACCAATAATATCAGTATGTTATGCATCAATAGCAGCAACAGCTTTTCCAGGTTCTGCAGTCATCTGAACAAAATTATAGACATTCAGCACATTGCATTAAAAAAACAAAGAATAATATCCAGAAAACAGCAAAGTTCTGTTGCTGTTGTGGTACCTGGGACCATTTTTTTTTATTAGCATCTTAATCATCATCTGGAAAGAGAGCATTCTAGAGTAATATCATTAAATATAGCTCTGATAAAGCATGGTCACTACTATGTATCATAAAGCAGGTACTAGATATTTTACATTCACAGAGGTATGATGCAGTACTGTCCTACATCAGTAATACTAGAATCAGTTTTGGTTTGAAATTTGCTTTCTCTGCAAATAAGATTGCTACACCTGCTTTTTTCTGGGCTCCTGTCACATGGAGAATTGTTTTCCATCCTTTCACTTTCAATCTATGGGCTCCTTTTTGCACTAGGTGTGTTTCTTGTATACAACATATTGTTGGATTTTGCTTCTTAATCCATTCTGCCAGTCTATTTCTCTTGATTGGTGAGTTGAGGCCATTGACATTGATGGTTATAACTGATATGTACTGACTTATTATTGACATGTTATTAGCCTTTTGTTGACTCTTTACTTTTTCACCTTCTCCTTTTAATTTCTTGCCTTGCCTATTTGATTTGCTCTGTTGGGCCTCATGGTGTTGTTGCCTTCATTGTCTTTTTCTAGTATCTTGTTTAGAATTGCTTATAGTGCTGATTTGGTATTCATGTAGTTTCTCAGGTGTTCTTTGTCATGGAAGTGTCTTATTTCCCCATCCATTCTGAAAGAGAGTTTTGCAGGATACATCAGTCTAAGTTGGAGGTTGTTCTCTTTTAGGACTTGAAATATCTCATTCCAGGCTCTCCTTGCCCGAAGAGTTTGTGTTGAAAAGTCTGCTGTGATTCTGATGAGCTTTCCTTTGCATATGATTTGTTTCTTTTCTCTTACTGCTTGTAGTATTTTGTTCTTCTGTTGGGTTTCTGGGGTCTTGATTATTATATGTCTAGGTGTAGATTTTTTTTATTGTGGTTAGTTGGGGTCCTTTATGCCTCAGTTATCTGAATGCCAAATTCTTCTTCTCTATTTGTGTAGTTTTCTGCCATTAATTCTGTGAACAGCTTTTTTAAGTCATTTGTATTTTCTCCTGCTACTTCATGGATTCCTATCAATCTTATGTTATTCTTCTTTGCATCATCTAGGAGTTGTTTGATCAATTTCTCATGATCTCTTACTGTTTTTAAGAGACCTCTCTTTTCATGGTCACTGACTGCAATCTCATCTTCTATATGTGAGAGTCTATCTTCGCATTCTTTTATTCAGTTGCATATACTTTCAGTGGAGTGTTTAATCTTCTGGATATCTGTTTGAATCTGTTTTATAGATTCCATTTCTTTCCTATATTGGGCGTTTATTTTTTCCATTTCTTTCTTATGCTGGGCCTTCATGGCTTCTGTCGTGGTCCTGAGCTCATCTATTTTTTGTTAGTTTCTGCTCTAGAGTCTCGAATCACGACTTACATTTTGCTCACTATCTCTATGGTTATCTGGGAAATTATTTCTGTTTTGAATCTTTCTAGAGCCTGATTGATCTGTTTTGTTACTTCCTATGCTTTGAGTTCAGGGTGTTCTGGTGGTTCACTGTCAGCCTTTTCATCCTCATTTGCCCTACTGTTTGCCATTGGTGAACTGGAAATCTGTCTTTGTGTCTTGCTTAAGTGTTTTCTCATTTTTATTTTTGTTGTCAGGCTGTCCTTGGATAGTTGTGCCCTAACTTCTGAGTCTCTAATGACCCACAGACATTCTCATCTTCATAACATCAGAGAAAACAGCTCATCAAATCAACCACAATCCTTTATCCCAACTGATACAATCAGCAACACATTAAGATCAAGCACAACTTGGAAACTGACCACCTGTGGTAGTCACTCATGTATCACCCTTAAACCATTTGAATTAAATTGAAATCAGGAAGCAGTCCAGAACATGTCTGCAGTGAACAAATTTTTCAATATAGTATATTTACCATTTAATGGCTTAGAGCTAGGACGCAAGACCCTTGATCTCAGCTAGCTGATGGCTGAACCCCATGACGCAGACTGACCTCGGGATGCAAGGCCCAGATTGAGTTCCCCTACCTTCTGAATGGTTGAACTCCACACCATTCTACTACAGATTTCCCATGCCCTTTCTTTAAAGATGTTCAAAGTTGGGAACTCAGAAAAATACCCTTTATGACCACCTTTGCCTCTGCAGAGTGGGTCCAAAGACTGTCACAATCAGGAGGTCTGAGAGTGCATGGGGGGGTAACGGGAGTTATGGGGATTCAGGGGTGTCCACTTGGCTACCTTCCTGATGCTGGAGCGATGGCGGCTCCAGGTGGGAGAAGGCGTGGCTCTCTTTCCCATGGTAGTTCGGGGCCCAGGCTACCTTCCTGATGCTGGAGTGATGGTGGCTCCAGGCAGGAGAGCTCTTCTTTCTTTAGTTTTCAGTGCCTTTCATCTAATATTCAAGAAATCATTATCAAATCCAATGCAGTGAAAATTTTGTCCTATGTTTTCTTTTGAGAATTTTATAGGTTGAGCTCTTACATTTAGGTATTTGATCTATTTGGAGCTATTTTAATATGATAGTAGGTAAATGTTAGGGTTTGGATATAGTATATCCCCCAAAAGTCTTAGCGTTTTGAAAGTTTGATTGCTGATGAGTCTGAGGGAAGCAGCTGATCATGAGGACTTTAAATTCTTCAGTGGACTGTTACACGGATGACATCATAATTTGAAGGCATTACTGGAAGGTGATGGAAACAGAAGATGTTGGCTAGTTGAATGGAGTGGATCTTGGAGGTGACCTTGGGAACTATATCTGGTCCTTGGATCCTTCCCTTCTGAGTCTTTCCCTTTCTATCTACTTCCTGGCTGCCATGAGTTGAGCAGCTTTCTTGTATCACACACATCTACTATGATACTTCTGCCTTTCCATAGGCCTAAAAGCAATGAATCTAGCTGATCATGGACTTACACTTCTGAAACCATGTGATTGTCACTCCTGATAAGTCACCTTTATTTAATTAAGAAATGCCTAGAAGATTAGTAAATCATGCTCCTGGCATTGACTAGGCAGGTGATGGTCTTAGGTACTATGTATGATCCCTCATCCATTACCTACATATGGTCCCTCGCACATTTCTCTTGGGCATTGTTTGTCTGCTCTGGTTCCCAGCTGCCATCAGCTGAGCAGATTTACTCCACCACATGCTTATCTTGGAAACAGCCACCTATGGACTGTATTCCTCGACACTGTGAGCCATACTAAACCACACTTTAAGTTGTGTGTTTAAGGTATTATGTGTCTCAGCAATGATAACTAATACAGAAAATTGGTACCAGGAATGTTGTTCTTACTGTGACTATACCTGATCATGAGGTTTAGATGTGTTTGGAACTGTTTTGAAGAACTGATTGGAAAGTCTAGAGTTACCTTAGAATGCTGTAAGCAAACTCTGATGGATAATTCTGGTCAGAGCTCAGAAGACCAGAATGCAGGCAGTAAATACCAGGTCCAAAAGATTTCAGCTGGGAAGAAGGATTCCATTGGCAGTTGAACTAAAGGCATGTATGTTACTTTTTGGCAGAAAAATTTGTCTTTATTTTGCCCATGAAAAGTACTGAGAGTCTTCAGAGACTAAGATTAAGAGTGGTACACTAATTAATCTGGTGGAGGAATTTTAAAATAGCCTGACATTCAGACCATGGGACCAGTATGACAGACTAATTTTAGCCAGATTTATAATGAAAACCAGGGGCAAAAGACCAAAAAAAATTTTTTTTGTTTGAAAAACTTAAATTTTGGTCCAAAAAGCATGTATAAAATTGGGGCCAGCCAGGTATAGTGGCACATGCCTGTAATCCCAGCACTCAGGAGGCTGAGGCAAGAGGATTACTATGAGATCAATACCAGGTTGGGCTACATAGTGAGTTCCAGGTCTGTCTCAACTACATAGTGAGACCCTGTCTCAAAAAACAAACAAACAAACAAACAAAAATTGGGGCCAAAGAAGGTCTTGAAACTAAAGATAAAAGACCCATTTAAAAATAACCAAATACAGAGCTGGGGATTTAGCTCAGTGTTTCTGCTGCCTGCCTCACAAGCACAAGGACCCATGTTCAATCCCTGGTACAAAAATAAAAAAT